CTTTAGGTTGCTAACCCTCGCATTTTTCACGTGACCACAGTAGCAATAGTAGATAACTATAAAGAAAGCTTCGATTCCTAATCCAACACCATTAATGATAGCAACGAGAAGACTGTCTGTGTGAACCACAGGTAGACCGTAAAACACCCATAACATACAATTCAGAATCGTCGTTATGTAAGGAACGTAGGAAAATTCCTCCACTGATTTCTTCTTATAAATCCTCCAAAACGTCTTCCTATAATTATTAACAACCACATTATCAACTTTCATGTTAATCTCCAACTAATTAATTATACATTATCAACTAATTAGAAAAGAGGAATATATATTACGCTGGTGCGGCGAAGAGACCAAAGGAAATAATATTCCCTGCATTAAACCAGAGGAAAATTCGTTAATCACAATTTTTTTCTAATTAATCACAAATCAAGCTCAATACACAACAAATATGTGAACGATGGAGATAAAAAAAATCACCGATCGGATTCCAAATCAAATACAATCCGCCATTACAATCAAAGCTTATCGATGAACGATCGAGGTAGATAAACACCAATCGATCGATTCACAAATACATCAAATAACAAATAGATAGAGCCGCCGTTATAATCTAGCTCAAACACGTAATATACATTTACATACAGAGAGGTTTCAGGTTCCGATGAGAGTTACAGGTACATATATATAGAACGAGTAATCAAAATCGGTTGTGAAATAGAGAAGAAAGAGATCGTTTACCAATGATTCCGATGATGGTACGGACTTGTTTCGCATCAACCATTGTGAAATCGAACGAAGAAAAACAGAGAAAGAGATTGATGAAGAAGACGAAGTGTAGAAGTAAACCTAATCGATAGAGAGAAGAGAGCGTTGGGGGCTTTAATTTGCGTGTATATATATAGAGAGAGAGAATATAATAATAAATACTGAGGATAAGAGAGACGTTTGAGTCAAGGAGTCAATATTTTCCCAAAATCTTGTTTTTAGTTTGTTACGATCTCTCTTGCGCAACACTCTCTTAATTATTTTTTATTTATTTTCTTTGACTAAATTAATAAAGGATAATTACCTTATTACTGAGTAAATGCTTGTTCAACGTTTTAAATTTAATGCGGTTTAATGTGTTTTTAGAAACTTATCTTCATTTTTATTCGGAATTTGTATTATCCAGATCATTATCCAAAACTAGTAGTAGTAGATTTTTTTTTTTTTTNANTTTGACCAGTGATTATCTTAAAACACTTGAAATTCGCATTTAATGTAATATCTAAATCTGCAAGTAAAGAAAAACGTAAGTAATTTATGTCTGTCTAATACGTTTTAGATAACATAAGATTTTTTTTTTAATAAAATCCAAATAACTTACTTGTTTTCCAAGTTTTATTCAGAAAAATATACGAATGTTATCTTATTTTTTTAATATAAAATATAAAATCATTACCTTATAATGTACTTTCCTTTTTTTTTTGGTTAAGGATATTAGTATTATTTATATCTTTGAATATGGAAACTCAAGAAAAGCATAATAATTATTTAATTATTTATAATGTTTAATTATTTGATCGGCCGACAAAAAAAAGTTTTGTATGGATCGTAATAATATTTGAATCGTATGGATAAATTTTATATCAGATAAATACGCCGTTTTATAAGGATTAAAACATACAATTATTTGTTGATTTATTTTAATTAATCTCTTTTTGTTTTGGTCAAAGAATACCATTTTGAATGAAACAAATTTTCAGGAATAGAGTTTTCGATTACGTCCGTACTATAGTTTGTTACCGCCACGTCAGATATTTGTTTCTGAAATTAAATTTTTAGGTCTTATTACGAGAAATGCCATCAACAGCACAATTCACAACAAACACATGCAGAATCTACTAGCGATGCCGTGGTACTTGCTCTCCACGTCAAATAAACCGGATGGTTAATTCAACTCTTGTACCGGTTTTAAAAATCGGTTCCGGTTTAACTGGTAAATGCAAACGTTTTACCTTGAAAGTCAAATTATTTTTGGTTATCTGTGGAATTTCAGATTTCGACGACTAGTATTTCCAAAATTACAAAAGTAATTAATTCATGCAGAATTAGATTTAATTAGTAACTTTTTACATTTTTAAAGCAAAACATTTATTGTGGTCAAACATACGGATACACAATCATGTATGTACATTCTTCTCTAATGTTTTTCACCATATACATTATATTCGTATAGTTTACCCTCAAAACAAATTAGTATAATTGTTGGAAGTGCATTTTCAGTCATTAATCACACTGAACAC